GAGAGAGAGAGAGAGAGCTGAGAAGCAGCAAACAACAAAAAGTTCAGGATCAGCTGGTATGAAGGGACAGAATGACAACCTGGGCAGGGGAAGAAGACGACGTGGAAGGGAGCTAGCTCCTATCCTCACACTTTGCTGTTTCTTTATTAGGGTTTTCCTCCTCAAATGGCTTGCATATGCTGCTGCTCAGAACTTCTGCAAGCAGCAGTAGCACTGTAATAAAAGCAGACAAGAACAACGTGTGTTGTCTCTAGACAATCATGAAGCAATGTCTTTAGTAGCTACTGAACCATGACCTGGAAGACCTGAGTACCAGAGGCATTGTAGTGGCTTGCTTCCAGAAACCTTTCCAGATATGAAAGAATGCAGTGCTATCCTCATAACTAAGGACAAGAAACAATTTTGCAGAAGCTTTCTTCCAAGGCCACCTGTCTACTCCCCAGCAAGAAGCAGATTCTTCAAACCTTTTCACTGCAGAGGTATGTCACTCTTCCCCAGAAACTGAACACCCTCTCTACTCCACCAGAAGACATACAGATTTCTGTATGGGCTTGGACAACAAAGAGCCCAAGGTAATCCAATAGTGATGCTGAATCTATGCCACAAGGAGGCCATTTGGGCTGAGGGAGTGGATTCTACAACTGCGGCAATTAATGCTGCCACTACAGTTCCACTGCCAAATTTCTGGACCCATGAGGAGCCCTGCACGCTGGATGATGTGGCCTTGTGTACTGGACTGTGCCAGCATAAGGGGTAACTCCGTAGCTGGATCTGGCATGCAGGGCCGGGCTGGTATGCTGAATTGCACCCCTGGATCGACAACATGCTGAACTCATGCTGGATCAGGCCTACAGACTGGCCCCATGTCACTCATCTGACCCACAGGGCCAGGCTGCTGGCACCACTGATCTAGATCCCAGATCTTTCTGCAGAATGCTGATGCTGTAACCTTAGCCAGGTATTCTTATGGCAGTGATATACAATGGTAAAATTAAGAGCCCTGCTAAACTGAGGTCTTCATCCTTTCCCCACATAAACGAGTTCAGCACAGAAACACGTGTAACCAAACATTTACTTACTGTGGAAGAGATGTTTTAAAGAGTGCTGATGTACTGGTAACTACAACTAGAGTACATGCGAGTGTTGTTATGCATGATAAGAATGACAGTGTATATGTTCTATACCAGGGGTGTCCAACCTTTTTGAATGTGGGGCCAGA